GTGGGTGCCCCCTGCCAGGCTCACATGGGGGCCCAGGCCAAGGACCTTCATGGGCCTGTCCTTGACCGTGAGGGAGGATGGGAAGGCCTTTCTTCGGGTGGCCTGGACCTCACCTACCGAGGGGACAACCGCCCCAAGCCCCCAAGCCTGCACCTCCTCACAGGAGCCATGAATGGGCCTTCTTCTGGGCCAGAAGCTATACATTTCCCACCTCCAAGCCTGGGCAGGAAGTGACCGCTGGGCAAAAGAGGGACACGGACCCTCCCGTTGGACGCTTTGTCTCCTTGACAACACCCCAGCTGGTGGCCCGAGGAACAGACTTAATTTCTTTTCTTTCTCTGCCCACCCTCCCCGCCCCATACTTCTTTCCCTCCTTCTCGAGACGCAAACGCACGACATCCAACATAAAGTTGCCGAAATAGCAATCTTGTCTCTGAATATATAAATCGCAAAAATTGATATGAATAAATCTGCAAGTAGCACACTGATTGTGGCACATTTTATCAAGAAAAAAAAAAACGGCTCTCGGTGGCTCGGTGGCTCGGGGGGCGGGGGGTTGGTGTCATTACACGTACAGAAAAACATCTGCAAACTCCCAGTTTCTTTACTTAGAACTGAATGGAGGCATGACCTCCTGTTCCTTGCCATGAACCCTGAGTTCACACTCATATTTTACATGTTACAGGAAGCCACAGCTCGCCCCAGGGGTGCTGCAAACAGACACGCCGAAGCCAGATGTAGCCCCCCACCCCCCCCTCGCTCCTTAATGCACCTGAAGGAGCCGGCGAGTCGACATTCAAAAGCTGACATGCTCGTAGCTTAAGGTCACTTCGGATTTTGTAAAGCGGAGGACAAAACCAGGAATGCTTCTAGGGCCGGGCTGTCAGCGGGGAGGCGGAGGGATTACAAGAAACCTGTGACTCTGCCTCTTTCTGCCTTTGCTGGTAGATTTTTTTGTGTGTGAACAAGTACCATACAACAGATTGGGTCTCGTATAAAGGCCTGAGACTGTGCAAAGGGCCCCCCGCTGGGCCTCAGCTGTGCTTGCAATTAGCAATAGGCACCGAGTGATTATTGTTGGGGTAGCGGATGGCGATGCGAAGTGACAAGTTTTATGGGGGAAGTTGGGAGTGGGGATGCTCGCCGAGTTCCTCTTTCTTTCCTTTTTCTTTCTTTCTTTCTTTCTTTTTTATTTTTTCTTGTTCTGCAAAAACCTTTCCTCGGGGAGGCTGCCACCTCCCGTGGCAGCGAGAGCTTTTTTTTTTTTTTCCCTCCCCCTCGTCATTCAAAAGCCTCTGAACAAAATCGGTGAAAGAATATTCTTCTCGGTGCTTCAGAATGCGGGTTTTCTAGGTCAGAGCTTCCTCGCTGCCCTATTTAACGTCAGAAATACCCATTTGCCTCAAATTAGCAGAGATCTGGGAGTTGAGGGCAGGAGATTAAGTATACAAAATTACGCAGCAGGTGACGGTGGGGTGGGTTTGAGGGTTGAGAAGTCTTTAAAACTGACTACGAGACATTATATACTTCTGACAAAAGAACACAGTAATCCTACCTGCTTGCTTTAACCACTGTTGTGTGCCTATTATTACGGGCTTTAATGCTCAGGAAAGCAAAACTATTGCTGATACTACTCAATTACCATAGTAACTCACACCACTGACCTCTTATCTCAAGGCTCCCAGCCCGGCCGGACCAAGCGAAAGAGCTGGTGTCTTTTTATTTATTTAAACGGTGACAGATACTTGGACGGGAAAGCTCCAGGAGGGAGGCTACTCTTCTCTTTGTCCAAGATCAGAACTTGTTTTGAAATTCTGAGTTAGGGCTTTTCACCTTTCGAATCCAAGGTGGTTCTGAAGTTTATGGATTTGAGGCGGTGGGATGCCTTCTAAAACATGATGAACGCGCAGAACAATGGCCAATAAGGAAATGAACACGTGTGCATCAAAGACCAGCAGCCTCCCAGCTGCACGGAAAGTCCCACTTGGGCCTCCAGCTCCAAAGTTTGGGAGGAGGAAAATGGGAGGCTTTTACTGGGAAATGTTTGCTATTTTATCCTATCGGTGGGGCTAGATGCAGACGGGACCACTGACTACCCAGAGGGATTTAACTGCAAGTTTTTAAAAAGGAAGCAAAAATGATACTTGCTTAAACTATTCCAGCTTTGCATTCTCCCCTGGGCTGTGACTGTGTTTGTGATGTGTCTACGCATTCTGTATACTCTGTCTGAAGAAGACGGGTGATTCAGCGTCACGCGGTTACCTTAACATATTAAACGCTCTGAGAAGTCCTGCAGTCAAGAAACCCACTGAACTTGGCTTCATATTTTCCAAACCTATTTGACTAAAGAACCACTTTCCATGAGCCACCTAGTAATGTCTTTCAGGGTACTTCTGTTCCCCTGAATCCACTTGGGAAAAAAAAAATTTTATAGTGACATTCCTAGTAACAACGAATAACAATAATAAAAAAATAACGAGTAAACATTTAGTGAGCACCTTTTCTGTGTCAGGCACTATTCTGAGCAGTTTCTATGGATTAAACTCATTTAATTCTCCTAACCACCTCAAGAAATAGTTACTTTTTAAACCCCACTTTACATTTCTAGAGCATCTCATATTTACAGGAATTTGTTCTCTATGAAAAAGAGAGAAAAGAAAATGCATTAAGCCGTATGTAATAAATTGGCTTTTAATGTCCACTCTATTTTTCCTGCTCTGACTCTCCAGAAACTATGAAGCCCATGGGCTCCCCAAATGCAGATTTTGTTTTTCTCCTATAACACCAGGCCCTATTGCATTTCAAATTAAATGAAGAGTGAGGCCTGACTCCCCGCAAAATGCCCCCACCTTTGAACTTCAGGTGCCCAAACAGCGAAATATACCTTTGTCCTCTGTCTCTCTTGATTAGCCTCCAAAGCCCCGCGGTCCCGAAAGAAAGAATCCAATTTCGGTATCAAAATGAGATCTGTGCTTGCCTGTACACAACATGACTTCTGAAACTGCTGGACATCTAAGTAATTGAATAAAAATGTAAGCAGTGGTCAAACCTGAATGAAAGATGGACCATGGGACCAACACCAGCTGTTTTCTAATACAGCTGGTTGACCAGCAGGACCTGTCACGACAAACCAGGACAAACTTGAGTCCAGGACTTAGTGTTTTAGCAAATGACAGAAGCTGATACCTAGCTTTCGGCAAGCGGACTCAGGAAACTGCGATCTTTAAGGGAAAAGGAAAAAGCTCTCTTAGGTACCTGGATTTTCTCAGGCTATTTCTTTTTCCAAGAGATAGAACTAATGAGCCCAATGTGATTAATCCCCAATCCGCTTCAAGCCAGGCTGGGTCTGCCACCTGGGCTGCCCAAGGCAGGTGTGCAGTGTGGACGTGAACAAACTCACCACCGTTAACAATACCTTTTTCTGGGGCCTATTTTTCTCTGGATATGTTGGGGATTTAGTCCTGGGCCTCCCTGTGCATTGAGAAAATGGACCCCCATGCCTTCAGCCTCTGTCCTCTCAAAGGAACCCACTGTTTCTGAGAAAATGTATAGTTCCAATCCCAATTCCCACTTTCAAGTCATCTCAATCACTTACAGCTCAATTGTGCCGAAAACGAAATTCCAGTTTTCGTGGCACATCCTACCACCTATTATCCATGTGAAGAGCGGGAATAATTCATCTGAAAACTATTCTCTGGTACACACACAAGGACTTCAGAGGTAGGAGAGAGATTCGTCCCATGAACTGAAATCAGATTACTCACAAACAGCACCTGCGCACCCCCTGACTGCTCCTTAGGACCAGGGAAGTGCATGTAGAGCTAGCTGCATTAATTCACAAGCAGATTGACGTAAGCAACTGAATCAGACATTTGCATACCATATAGAAGTGATTATAGAAATCAGACTCTAAAATAAGGGTGGTAGCTCACGTACAGAACAGAGAGATGAAGCGGGGTGCCAACTCTGTCTTTTTCAAACGGGGCTGGTTAATCACATTAAGGCTAACTCCATAATTTGCACACATTAAACTTTCTCTCGTCATGACTCATGAGAGTCTTGTGAGTCAAAGTTGAAGTTCTTATGCAGGAAAATTCACATTGACCTCGGGGACTTGTTTTCCTGGACTGAGGTTGTTTTAATCTCTACTCTCAATATTTAAAAAAAAAAATAAAACCACACACAAAAAACCCCCACGATCTGTACGTTCCTATAGTTTCCATGTTATTCCCTGGAAAGCATTCAAGTCAACAGGTAAACGCTGTAGGTCAAATCACCTAGCTAGTTCCCAAGCAGATGATGACAGTTCACTAATCTATCACCCAGAAGGCGCTGTCCAGAGCCCCAGGGTCCCGAGACCACAAAAGCCAACAACTATAACTGGGTTCAGAACCCCTTTCCAAAGCCTCTAAGTGGTTATAACATGAGATCTATGCCAGCTTAGGGAACCTGGGCTCCATGCGGAATGACTTCTCATAAGGAAAGGGTATGATTGTTTTAGGAGCCAGAGACGGCACGGATGTTTCCAAAAAGCAGTCAATGGGACAACACTCAGATGCTGGTTCAGGAGCATTGGGTTTCAAGGAGAAGCCAGAGTCGCATGAAGGCAGGAGAAAAAGATGGCAGGAGATTGGGCAGAACGTGGCAGGTGGACTGGTCAGATTTCACCTCTTAGGAGGAAATATTTAGGGGTGCACAGTGACTGCCCCTAGAAAGGAGATCAGAAAACAGGTTCTGATGCCTGGGGCTCGATGATGAAGAAAAGAAAGACAAAGTGCTGCTTTTTCAAAGTTAACATGTGTTTTCACCACGTACAGCTGGGCTCTGCTTCCCAATGGCCCCCTTTCCTCTTGCTTTATTTTTAATCTCTGGAAACCATATTCCCCTCTTACTACTTCTCACTGAGTGTAACTCTAATTTTTTTTGATCTTTCTGGGAGGGGGAAAAAAATCACATTTGCCAGATCACTTACCCAAAGTTTATCCTGGGGAGCCCGCCACCCCATCTCTTCTCTAAAAAGGGCAGAAACGTCAGACCATCGTCCTAACATAAGACACACACTCGACCCGGCTGGGTGCCCTGACCATCCACAGATGGTTTTGGGTCCACCAGCCAGGAGATGAGACGTCTGCGGCAGGTCCCCCCATTGAAGCATTCAGATGGGTCTTGGACCTGAGCACATAAGAGTTAAACCGTAAATTAGCCATGAGTTAATATGTGCAGGCTGGATCCCCCTGCCTTGCCATTAATGCTTTCCGTCCACAAGGCTCCCTCCCCCTTCCCTACACCCCCCCTTTTTTTTGAGGCGACAGAATAAGAAATTAAACACTTGTGGGTTCATTCGAAAGAGTGAATGAAATTGAATAAGCTCTCAGTACTTGAGGCGCACAGCGAGTGCCTGAATGGGGCAAACCTCCGAAGTTGAATGGAGTGTCTTTTGGGACCAATTTGTCTCTTTTCACTCTTTATTCTTCCCTTTTTGCTGACAGATGTACAAAGGCGGAACTGCGCCGTGCAGCTTATCCGCAGGCGCCCGCAGCAGCTGTCACTTTTGTCGAGCAAGTTAATCAAGCAAATGCCACCATATCCCACTTTCTATAAGGAACAACATGTTATAGACAGTAGTCTTGCTAGAAAGAGACTTTATTTTAACTTTGATTGGCTTGCTTCCCCCGTCCCTCCCAATGCTTTCCCCCTTCCCCCCTCCAAAAACAGGAGGGGGAATGGGGGGCGGGGGGGGGGCTGTGCCCAAGCCAATGATTTAGCTATGATCACATTAGATGTAATAATAATATTGTGCGGGGAGTTGAAGACTTGATTCAGCGTTCCTTCCTAGGGACTGAAGGGTGCCCTGGGTTTGGGATTTTTAAAATTTTTCCATTTTTTTTTTTGAGCCAGTTCCTGCTGCTTGTGCTGGACCACGAGGCTGTGTGTCTCAAGTTATAAAAAGCAAAGCTGAGGCCAGAAGACAGTATTACGCCACGGATGTCTCGGGTTAATTTTACTCTTTTCCTTTGTCAAGCAGGTTGTGTTATTTACATGTTTCTTCGGATAACCCCCTTGCCTGGCCACGCTTGCAAAGACTGCGCTAAACACCTAACGGCACGTCTTTGTGCATCTCGAGCTCTTTAAGCCGAATGCCCAAATTCATTTCTGATGTGCAGCAACAAACGCAACACAGGCCTCCACGTCTCTAACGCTGTGTAAGCCAAGTGGGGAGCCTTTAAAAGGATTCCAGCATGTCCACGTCCCCATTCCCCCTGAGCCACAGCGCGGTCACTGCTCTTTGGTGGCGTCCAGAAACCACAGGCAGGAGCGAGCTTCATTAAATCGTGTTCGGTGCTGACCTCAGCTGCTACCCGTGAGCCCCCACTCACTTAGAAAACTGAATGCCTAAAGCAGACATAT